TGGACAGGTGGACAGAACACCTGTTGACACCAGTGGACAGGTGGACAGAGCACCTGTTGACACCAGTGGACAGGTGGACAGAACACCTGTGGACATACTGACAGTAGAGTTTCCAGAATGTACAAATCTGTGTATTTTTTACTTTCAGTTGCAACAGCTTCTTTTCTTCTTCTTAATTTTATAAATATCAGTTCTTTTCTTGTACATTGATCAAATTATTTTAAATAATGTGTTAAATCAGCTTTAACTTTAAACTTTTTATATTTGTTTATTCAAAGCATTTTTTAAATTGTATCTCCTTTGAGTTCATGCTGTATAAAGTATGAACGGTGATTTCTGCATCTTTAGCTTCAAGTTATTCACAACAACATAATACTCAGATTAAGTTGTACTTCTATTTATTGTTTATTGTAAACACAAATCTATGAATTAGAGAAGTTTAGACACAAAATGTATCTCAGTTTTTAAAATATGAGCTCCTCCATAAATTTCCTATAAATTCAGCAACAAACAAAGCCCTTGAAAACCCTACTGTGTGTGTGTATTGATGTATTTATTCAATTCAATTTAATTCAGTTTATTTATCACGAAATCACAACAAAGTTGTCTCAGGGCACTTTACAGGAACATTCACATACATAAAAGCCAGTTAGTAAAGTTCTCTAATGAATCCAGCAGACAAGTTGAATCTTGGCTTCATTGCAGTCTCTCATCCTGAGCAAGCACAGTGGCAACAGTGGAAAGGAAAAACTTCCTTTTAAAAGGAAGAAACCTCCAGCAGAACCAGGCTCAGGACAAGCGGCCGTCTGCTTTGACCGGCTGGTTGAGAGGACAGGAAGGAGAGACAGACAAACACAGAATGTTAGGTCCAGGTATAGGTCCAGGTGTATCTGAAAGACAAAACAACACATGTTAAGGATAGAAAAAATAATTACAAATACAAAACAGGTTGAGCAGAGTAAGTAAAGACAGTATCCATCCATCCATCCATTTTCTTTACCCGCTTATTCCATTTTGGGTCACGGGGGTCGCTGGTGCCCATGTCCAGCAATCACTGTGCGAGGGGCGGGGTACACCCTGGACGGGTCGCAAGTCCATCACAGGGACACATAGAGACAAACGAGACAAACAACCATTCACTCTCTCACTCACACCTAGGGACAATTTAGAGTTACCAATCAGCCTAACATGCATGTTTTTGGTCTGTGTGAGGAAACCGGAGTACCTGGAGAAAACCCACGCATGCACGGAGAGAACATGCAAACTCCACCCAGAAAGGCCCCTGGACCGGGGTTTGAACCAGGGACCTGCTCGCTGAGAGGCAGCAGCTCTACCAGTTGCGCCACCGTGCTGTAAAGACAGTAGTAGAGTGAAAAGTGTGGTCAGTTTGTCCTCCAGCAGTCTAAGCCTATAGCAGCAGAACTAAGGGTGCATTCACACCAGCCCTGTTTAGTCCACTTTAATCGAACTCTAGCTCGTTTTCCTAGAAAGTCCGGTTCGTTTAGGGAGGTGTGAACGCGCCATCGAACTCTGTCACGGAACAAATAGGCGAACTCTGGCCCGGGCTAAAACCTAGGTCTTGGTCCGGTAGAAGAGAACTCCAGCGCGGTTCGAGTACATTGTGAGTGCCATCAGACCGGGCCCCGCTCCACAGGGTAAACAAACACGCATTTCTCTGACCTTATATGGAGCCGTCAGCTGCCTTGTGTGAAAAACAATATTCTCCATGGTCTTCTGTCTCATCTTCTGCTCATGCTAAGTCCATTGTTGAAAAATGACAAAATATAACTCCTAAAACTGCTAAAACTTGATGCCACTTCATTTTTATTTTTATTTATAGAAGTGTCTTCAGAGGTTTTTGTGTCGTTTCTTTCAGTAGTTCTTGGTGCAGCGCCCCCACAGGCGAGCGGGGAATAGGTTGGTTCAACAGGTTGACTCGACTGCACAGTGCAGTGTGAATGCAAACGCACCCGCTCAAATGTAACAAAAGGTCATGAATATTGGTCCCGAACCGAACCGAGTCTACCGGACTATCTAGTGTGAAAACGACCTAAGTTTGCTTTTGAATGAATATATCAGCTTTTATACATTTGCAAAGCTACGTAACAAAGAAATCAGACATTCAGTGACCTAACTTCATGTTAGGTCACTGAATGTGACCTAACATGACCTTAGGGAGTGACCTAACTTCATGTTAGGTCACTGAATGTGCCGACCCTAACTATAGGATTTAGCTAAAAGGAAAGTCTTAAGCCTAGTTTTAAAACTGGATAATGTGTCAGCCTCACGGACAGAGATTGGAAGTTGGTTCCACAAGAGAGGAGCCTGATAACTGAAAGATCTGCCTCCCATTATGTTTTTGTAAATTCTAGGAACCACAAGTAAACCTGCCGTCTGAAAGTGAAGTGCTCTGTTAGGAAAATATGGAACAATAAGATCTGTAATATAAAATGGAGCCAGGTTGTTGAGAGCTTTGTAGGTTAGAAGTAAGATTTTGAATTCAATTCTGTACTTGACAGGGAGCCAATGGAGAGAAGCTAAAACTGGAGAAATATGATCTCTCCCACTAACTCCAGTTAAGACTCTGGCAGCAGCATTTTGGATCAACTGAAGACGTTTTAAAGAAGTATTTGGACATCCAGATAATAAACCATTGCAATAGTCCAGTCTAGACGTGACAAATGCATGGACCAGTTTTTCTGCATCATTTTTAGATAAGATGTTTCTAATTTTAGTGATTTACGCAGGTGGAAGAAGGCAGTTCTAGTAAAGTTTTTAATGTGGGGGATAAAAGACATGTCCTGATCAAAAATAACACCAAGATTTTTAACATTAGAGCTGGAGGACAGATTAATGCCATCTAAGGAGGGAGAAAGACCGAAAAATTCATTCCTAAGGTGCTCAGGTCCAAAAACCAAAACCTCAGTTTTGTCTGTGTTCAACAGGAGAAAATTAAGGGTCATCCAGGTTTTTATGTCTTTAAGACATGCTTGTAGTCTAAGTAGCTGATTGGATTCATTGGGTTTAATGGACAAATATAATTGTGTGTCATCAGCATAACAATGGAAATTTATCCCATGCTGTTTAATAACTTTACCTAATGGAAGCATATATAAAGTAAAGCGTATTGGCCCAAGCACTGAGCCCTGAGGAACTCCATGACTAACTTTGGTGTATGAAGAAGATTTATTATTTACATTTACAAACTGGAATCTGTCAGATAGATATGATTTAAACCATTTTAGAGCCGTTCCTGTAATCCCAATATCATATTCAAGCCTCTGTAGTAAAATATTGTGATCAACTGTATCAGATGCAGCACTGAGGTCTAACAGGACCAGTATAGACACACGTCCATTGTCTGAGGCCATGAGAATATCATTAGTGACTTTTACTAGTGCTGTTTCTGTGCTATGATGAGCTCTAAACCCTGACTGAAACTCTTCAAACAGATTATTTCTTTGTAGATGTTCACGCAACTGACCTGCAACTATTTTCTCTAGAATTTTTGAGATGAAAGTTAGATTAGATATAGATCTATAGATGGCCAGAATTTCTGAATCAAGATCAGACTTCTTAAGTAAAGGTTTAATTACAGCAACCTTAAAGTGCTGTGGTACATAACCATCCATTAAAGACAAATTAAGTAGATCCAAAATGTGGATATTAATTAGGGGGAATACCTCTTTAAACAGTCTGGTTGGGATGGGATCTAGCAGACATGTGGATGGTTTGGATGAGGTTATTATTTTTGACAATTCAGAGCTCAACAGGACAAAATCTGTCCAAACATAAATCAGGCTCTAGTGAAATTTTTAAAGTTGCCTCATTTGACAGGGGACTAGAGACAGTAGAAGGAAGGATGGTTTGAATTTT